TATGTGTATTCCTTTCTTAATTATTCAAAGTAAAATCATTGATTACACATTCGTAGAAAGTTCAAAACTTTTAATTACCACATCAATTTTAAAAATTTGAATAAAGTCAATAAACAAAATATAGATAGATAATTTTTAAAATCTTCATGGACCAAAACTATGGGATTGAAAGATACTTATCTTTGTTACAATAAATATTAACACATGAATACAATAATTACTCACCAGATTTTTAAATGTAGTGATTATTTTAGCGTGAAATATATACCTTAACTGTTTTGATTGATGGCTTGTTGAGAAGTTTAAGTTGTTCCTCCAACTCTAATTCCTCAATTTTAGATAACATTGTTTTTCCTTGAATCCCGCCATAATTGAGAAGAAGATATAATATCAATAAAATTTGTCGAGTAACTCCTTGATGCATCAACATTACCTGAATATATTCGTTTATTTTTATAGGCATGGATGTTAGGAAACATGTAAATACAACAATACTTGAGCAACACACGTAATTTACGCAACATAAATTTTTTTTTAAAAAAAAAACTTAAAATTTCAATTAGCTAACAAAACATGAAAGTATGTACTAGGTAATGAACTTACTTGATTTACTTGTTGTATCAGTGCTAATTATGTTTTTTGAACATCTATATATCTCATTTGCCTAGTATGAGAAAGATGTTATATAGTAAAACTTTGAATTGACTATTTGCACATGATATTAATGTAATCTTTGAAACATTGACTAATAGAATTAAAAAAAGTTATTATTTTTATTTTAATAAATGTTAGTTGATCATTCCAAGTAAAATCCAAAAGGATAGTTTGACCATAGAATATCAATAGAGTCAACATAATACTGAAGATTGCATTTATTTTTTTCTATAATTTCATGTTTAACTTCTTAAAAATCTGAATGGTACTAGATAATTACATTATTAAATGAGGAATATGCTTTGTTTGGTCTTTATTACATCTTCTCCTAAAATTGTAACGATATACTGTTTATATCATGAAATTATTTCAAATCTAATCTCATCAATTTCTTAACTAAATGTAGAAATATACTATTTACTATGTTTATATCATGAAATATTTCCAAACATAATATTATCAATTATTTGAGTAAATACAAAATCAAAAACGTTAAGAAAATGAAAGAAATCTCACAAAATTCAATTAAATGTAGCAATCAAATGTAATAAAAAAAATCAGTAGAGCAATAAAAAAAATCAACTATTTAACTTGGAAAGAAGAAGGTTGCAACAATATATCACTTCCATTTTGTTCATCCAATTAAATTTTTGCATATTATGATGAAATAATTTTCCAAACTTATTGTTTGCAACAAATTTTAAAATGACAGAAAATAAATTACAATTACAAAAAAATATGAAAAAATATAATTTTATTCATCAAGATTGCGGATACAATTCTGTTGATTCTCCTCTCATAAGATTTATTCATGATTCGAGTGCCGTTAGTGGCGTATTTCTTGAACTAGGATGATTTAGATTTGACTTGAATACTCCATGAATTTGCGGGATATTCGATATGTCTTTTAAGGGAATTTAGTACCCTTTATATTGACATGAACTAAGGTTTAGGGTTGAGTAGCCTCCAAGAATTCTAATTGAAACTGAACACACATTCTAGAGTCTCAATTCGAATCTAACACATCTTGTAGAGTCCCACAAAATTTTAATGTAAACACTAATATTCTCGTCTAATCAAATGACTTGATGGACCAATTGATTTAGGGGAGCTAATTAGCTGCTAAGGCATTATTTATAATCCTTTTTAAATATTAAAAAACAATCAAAATATTTTGTTTTAAAATTAAATATTATTGTTAATTAGTTTAATTCAACTAGTAGATTATCCTTTCGAATTAATTAGTTTATAATTAAGTTAATTATTTTATTTTATTAGGATTAAGAAGTTCGTTAATTAATTCGTCTTATTTAACTTTTAGCTGATTAAATTTAATTTTAACTAAATTCTTAATTCACTTGACAAAATTTGCAATCCATTGATCGTTTCTTCAATTGCAAATCTAGTCAATTTTACTCCAAAGCTTATACACATTTCCAGACCCAATTTTGAGATAAATTTCACAATTTCAGCCCAACTCTTATTCCCAATTCCCATACGAGAAAGATCCAGCAACAGACCCCATCAATACATACAGCAAATACAAATAAATATTTATTGAAAATGATTTTCTAAAATAGTAAAAAATAGTAATAATTATATAAATCTATATATTATGAACATATAGAAATATATACATTGTTTATATAATAGAAAAATGACAAAACTGTCTAAAAACAACTTTAAAATATTTTAAAAAATATAAAGCTAATTATTTCAAATTGTTTGAAATTGAAGAAGTCCAACAATTAATCAATATCGTAAAGAGTGTAACTTTGACGTCAACAATGACACTTTCTCCAATACCTATAAAGTATATAAAAGTTCAAACTTTTCCGGTATTGTATGTGGATAGTGCAAAACTCAAAACAAATGAGGATCGTCAACATATATTATCGTTTTATCTATGTCTATAATCACACTTTGTCACTTAATTTAGAATGGTAGGCCTCCTACAATAAGCATCATAAACATTGTGTTTGGTTTTAGTATTCCAAAAATCATTACTTTCAAAAAAAAAAAAAAATTATTTATTTCATTTAAGTATTTGTGGACTCGAAATAATTTGTCTTCTTCTTTGTTTTGCATTACATGTGAAATCCTATGAGTCCAATGGACTACTTCTGTGTTGGGTCAGAGCCCAACATAATATTCTAATATAGTCAAGCCCAGCAAAGGAAGATTTGGGCCTCAAGTTCAAACCGCAACATACCAACTCCATTACATGAGAAAACAAGAATTTGGGCTGGTGGCCCAATTTATACCTCTATCTCTCTTCATTTTAATTTTAATTTTTTTGGGAAACAATATAAATCTTATTATTTTAGGGGCTAATTATGTGTCTTCCCATGAGTTTTTGAAATCACAATTCGTATCATATTTTGTTCACCAGATGCATGTATATGACCCGTCCAGATACACATATCTCGAACACATGTGGTCAAAATTAGGTATAATTTGTTATAAATACATTTTATCCAAGTGGATTCACATGTATCTAGGATACACTAGCTCACTCTCTCTCCAATATTGCTCGCCTCTCTCCTTATGTATCTATACTTCAGAATATATCTGGTATCTCAGATACATGTATCTAGTGTGTGACTCTCATGTATATAGAATATACAGACTCTATCGCTTGCCTCTCGCCCTTTTCTTCCTATTTAACTGTATTTCAGATTGTATCTGATTTATCAAATATACATGTATTTAGATGTATCTGACTTAAGTATGTTATTCAATTATTAATTAGTAAGATAATATATAATTATTTTAAATTATTGGAAGAACAAATAAATATGATAAAAGTTTTTGTGTAATTAGATAATTTTTTCATTTTATAACTCTATCTCTCTTCATTATTTTAAATTTTAAACACATGGATTTGTTTTAAAGTTTACTAACTCTTTAATGTATTTTCCCCATTTTTAATGTTGATTATCAAAGTCAAACAACGTTTAGTTTAAACTCCATATTGAATAATTTATTAAAGCTGAAATAGACTTGGCTCTTACCCTATGTTTGGATCATTGTTATCCATTGTATTGTATCGTTACTATACCTACAATATTTGTTTTGATTGTTACTTAAAATGTATTGTATTGTATTGTTAAATTTCATTGTTACGTAGCAATGAAAACCCCCATTTTATGGAACAACCAATTTGGTGTGTTTCCATTGTTACTTAATTTCTTTTTCCAATTATATCTTTACATAATATTTCATAATACTATTTTACCCTTTACCTTATATTATTTAATTCTAGTCAAACCTCCTACTATAGAATAATTAAGGATATTTTAGTAAATTTATAAATTATAATACAATACGATACAGTCAAACCAAACAATAAAAATGTTATTAAACAACAACAAACAATACAGTCTAGCCAAACACTATATCTACATACAATACAGTACAAGACAATAAAATACATTATGAAACAAGGGATAACAATGACCCAAACAGTGTTAGGCTCAAATTAGGTAATTACTAGATTTATTTTTTTTAAAAGCCAAGGCTTAAACATCCCTAAAACTATCTCTTTTTTTCGGATTGTTATCCCAAGTTTCAATCTGTTTCGAGCCTAATATTGTTAATTAAATTCACCTTGTTCCAAGAAATTTTAAACATGATGGACTCTCTACTTTATTTCAGATCCCGCTTTTCAATAAAAATATACTCTTTCACTACAAAATATTAAAATTTGTTAATTAATTGTAATTATGAATTTTTTGAGATGCTTAACATCTTCCTCAAGGAATAATCAAAAGTTCAGAACCCGAATAATCAAAAGTTCAGAACCCTTACCCTTTTTCTTTAATTTACAAAATTAGGATTTTAAATATCCTTTTCAAAAGGAAAAATGCATAAGTACCCCCTTAGCCTATACCCAAAATCCCTGAGACACGCTTAATCTTTACTAAGGTCCTATTTATCCTCGAACTTATTTTTTAATTAATTTTCTACCCCTTTTCGGCCTACGTGGCACTATCTTTGAAAAAATTGTCAACACGCGCTAGGCCCACAAGATAGTGCCACATAGGCTGAAAAGGGGTAGAAAATTATATATAAAATAAGTTCGGGGGGAGGGGGATAATACGACCTTAGTAAAGATTAGGTGTGTCTCAAGGATTTTGAGCATAAGCTGAGGGGGTACTTATGCATTTTCCCTTTTCAAAATGATTTTATAGTTCCAGTAAAAATTAGATGATGACTCTCTTTTTCAAATAAATAGTTATGTTATGAAATGTTTTAACCAAGTTAAAAATGGATCGTAACAAATATAACAAGTGATATATTCTTAGGAACTTCATATTTTTTTTTATATATGAAAGTAAATATCATTACATTTGGAGTTTTTGACTCTCTCCCGGCCCCCCATAAAATGCAACGTGTTGGAACTTTCCAGGTCTGAAATGTGGGATATCCGAAACTTGATACAGATGAGGATCATCAACATATATTGTCGTTTCATCTACGTCTACTGTAGCACCTTCAGCATTTAAAACGCTAAGCCTCCTACAATAAGCATCATCTGCAGTGTTTCCAACAAGAAAAATACTTGAGCCCATTGGAGGTTTAGGCACACCCGGTGGGCTATACACGACGCCTCCCCACTCAATGTTATCAGCAAAACCTCTCAAGTCAGTGAAGATTTGTTGAGGCCAAAAACCAATTCTTTTATAACTTTTCTCAAATAAAAACCACCAGTTGCCATTGGCTTGATCCTTTTATCGAGAAGCAAAAAATCTTCATTAGTATTTGTAGCATTCAAAACTTAAATTTTTTTAATAAAGAAATAAATGTACCCGATCAATGTACATTGTGGCTTCCCATGAACCCCCTTCTCCATGGTGTGAAACATCTTTAAAAACCATATCAATAGGTGTCTCACTGCTTACTAATACAAATCCCGAGCATAGTACATTGAAACAATGTTTATTACCAGCCTATTAAATGTAAAGTACACATGAACTTCTCACTTGAAATAAACAACTAATGAGAGAAAATGTTAATTTTATGAATGCAAAATTAAAATCAGTAAATTAACTAAGGCACCTTACCTGAAAATGCACAAAAAGCCTAGTGTTATTATCGCCATATAATGTTGGATCTACCTGAAACAACAAATATGTATTTGACTTAATAAACAAAATAAATAATATTGATTGGAGTATAACTTGCTTCTTAGAGGTGTAATATTCAATTTTCTGATACCCCACCCCACCCAACCCCACACACTCAACTCTTCCACCTTTCTTTCTCCAGTTGATCTTTTTAAAATTTAAAAACTATTTTTCAAATAAACAAAGCAATCACAAGCAAAAAAATTTAACTATCAATAAATTCAGTAGTGAACTTACTCTCCAACCAACTTGTAAGATGTCTGATCCTTTCTGAACTTTCAATCGACATGCACTGTGTTGTTGACCTTCAACAAGGGGATTCCATATACTATTGGCCATTCCAGCTCCCCCAAACTTGTTATGTGGATTTTTTGGAATTCGAACTATTGCAAGCTAAATATGAAATTAAAAATATTTGTTAAATTGTGATCAGATATATTAAAATATTTGATATCAGTATAAATATTAGAGAAGTGTGATCCAAACAATAAAAAAGAAACTTCCAAACTTCAATATATATTCATTTATTATGATCAATTTAACATGTTCTATTCAAATAATAGAAAATAATAATATACATACCATGTATACTTGTGAAGATACATCGGCAATCTGTGCATAAGCAATAAAACATATAAGACTTGTTGCAATAAAGAACTAATTTATATGTAGTGGTGCTTAACATATTAGATTACAGTAAAAATCATGATTATATTATTCAAGGCAATATTGTGAATTAATGTAACATTTTTTACCATAGTGAATTTAGGATTAGATGTTACATGATCTTCTGGTGGTGGCATATTTCTTTGTCTAATAAGATCTTCTTTAGTAATTTTTTTAATGGGAACCGTTCCAAAGGGACAACCACCATCTTCAGACCATATCCTCGATGACCAATTAGATGCAGAGGTACTTGAATTCTGTTTTGACCTAGCTAAAGTAGGTTTCATCTGTCCATTCAAAACTTAAATTGTATATTTAAAAAAATGTTATTATTATAAAGTTGAAAAGTAAAGTGAAGTAGACACATGCCTCCGGATGAAAATTGTGATTCTTTAATAGAGGATGATCAAATGCCGGTTGCTTGTAGAAATCCACACAATTATATGTATCTCCAGACTTACTCTGAAAACCAAAATAAAATAATTTGTAAACACCATCCTTTAATAACAGAAGATCAAATTCTATTATGCACAAAATGTCTACAAAAAAGAATAGAAACAAAAAGTATATAGATTTGCAAACACCATTTTAAATTTTCAATTGTACATAACTTCGGATTTACTTTGAGAATCATAACTTAATATTTACCGATATTATAGTTTCAAAGGTTATAATAGACTTTTATCAAATTTATTGTTATGCCTTTTTTAATTAATCAAAGTAAATATCATTTATTACACATTTGTAGAAGGTTCAAAACTTTTAATTACCACATCAGTTTTTAAAATTTGAATAAAGCCAATAAAAAAAAAAGATAGTTAGATAATTTTTAAAATCTTCATGGACAAAAACTATTGGATTGAAGGATAATTATTGTTACAATTAATATTAACACATGAATACAATAACTACTCACCAGACTTTTAAATATAATGATTTCTTTAGCGTGAAATATATACCTTAACTGTTTTGATTGATGGCTTGTTGAGAAGCTTAAGTTGTTCCTCCAACTCTAACTCCTCAATTTTAGATAACGTTGTTTTTCCTTGAACCCCGCCATAATTGAGAAGAAGATATAATATCAATAAAATTTGTCGAATAATTCTTTGATGCATCAACATTACCTGAATATATTCGTTTATTTTTATAGGCATGGATGTTAGGAAACATGTAAATACAACAATACTTGAGCAACAAAAGTAATTTACACAACATAATTTTTTTTTAAAAAAAAAGATATTGATAATTTCAATTAGCTAACGTAACATGTAAGCACTAGGTAATTAACTTACTTGATTTAGTTGTTGTATCAGTGCTAATTATGTTTTTTGAACATCTATATATCTCATTTGCCTAGTATGAGAAAGATGTTATATAGTAAAATTTTGAATTGACTATTTGTACATGATATTAATGTAATATTTGAACCATTGTCTAATAAAATCTAAAAGAGTTATTATTTTTATTTTAATAAATGTTAGTTTCACATTCCAAGTAAAATCCAAAAGGATAAGTTGACCATAGAATATCAATAGAGTCAACATAATACTGAGGGTTGTATTTATATTTTCCCTTTTTATTATAGTTTCATATTTAACTTATTCTTAAAAATCTGAATATGACTAGATAATTACATTATTAAATGAGGAAAATGTTTAGTTTGTTCTCTATGGCCTCTTCTCTGAAAATTGTAGCGATATACTCAGTGACGTAGTTAGAAAATTTATAAAGAGTGTCCAAATTAAAGCCAAAAAAAAAATGTTGCCATGGGGGATTGAATTTGAGTGGCAAAAGAGTTTTTGTTGGCCATCCACTGAGCTACAACTCTTCAATATTTTTTTAGGTGTCTAAAATGTTAAATATATCAATATAAAGTCAAATTTAACTTATTACTATAGTGTCATTTTTTGGCGTGTCCCTGGAACAGCTGTAGCTCCGCCGTGGATATACAACTTATATCATGAAATATTTCGAACCTAATTTCATCAATTTATTAATTAAATGTAGAAAATAATGTATACTATTTACTATGTTTATATCATGAAATATTTCCAAACATAATTCCATCAATTCTTTGAGTAAATACAAAAACAAAACCCTTAAGAAAATGAAACAAATCTCACAAAGCCCAATCAAATGTAGCAGTCAAATGTAATTTTCTCAAAAAAATAAATTTTAGGTTTAGCAAATATAAAAATCATATTCATATGTTATAGTTATAGTTTGTATAATTGCGTTCCATAGCAAATTTTATGTTTGCTATGGCTATTACACTACAAGAAAAGTGTGAATTACATGGGGATCAACGCTTATATTATTGTATCTCTCATTTTCGCGCATCAGATTAATGTATCAGCGCTTATATTATTGTATCTCGCGCATCAGATTAGTGTATCATGTATAAAATGTAATGTATCTTACTTAACGATTAATGTATCTCGCACATTAGATTAATGTATCAGCGCTTATAGTATTGTATCAGTTTGAGGGATTTCTGTAATTATAAACTTTTAAGGGATAGATTGTAATTTTGCCTTAAATAATTTTTCTTCTTTCTTTTGCATACATGTGAAATCCTATGAGTCCATTGGACTACTTCTGTGTTGGATTGGAGACCAACTTACAAACTGCATTACATGAGAAAACAAGAATTTGTAATTCGCAGCAAACATCCCCTTTTTTTGTCATCTGGTTCGGTATATAATTAGTCATTTTCGGTATACAAATGTATAAAATGCGTTTGTGTTTGTATAAAATGAGAGAAAAGTGTATATACAAATAAGGGTAATAATATTAGTTGGTGTAAGGAGGAATATGATTTCTCCAACTTCCTTATATGGTCTAGTGTAAATTATTGTTGTTGCATTAACGTAATTAGTGTAAATTAAAGTCACTAATCAAACTCCCCAATAAAGACATAATTTTAACAAATTAAAATTATGCTCCAAAGCTCCATAAGGTAATTTTGGAGACTAATTATGCTCCGTAGTTATAGTTTGCTAATTACGATTCGTAGCTACATGTTATAGCGAGGAGAGTGGCAAGCAAGATTGGGAGAGGTGAGCGAGAGAGGGCAGAGAGTGGAGAGAGGTGAATTGTATATGTATATCGGTTAGACAATTGTATATATGTAACTACTATGTATATGTATCAATGATTGTGTTTGTATATCTGCATAAAATTTGAATTTGTATACAATTGAATCAAGTTAATATACAATTGAATCGATTTAAAACATTTGTATTTATATATTAAGTTTCTTTCTCTCTTTATACAAACACAAGTTGTACATTGTATTTGTATAATTTGGGTTTGTATAAAGCGAGAGAGAAAGGCAAAAGAATTTGTATATACAATCTCTCTCGTTTTATACAAACACAAACATAATTTATGCATTTGTGTTTGTATAACAGTGTGAGAGAATTGATAATGACAAGCAAGATTCAGGGAGAGAGGTGAGAATGACAATGTGTTTACTGCGAATTGAAATGAAATGAAACTGTAGTTATATCATTTATTTTGAATTAATAGTTTGTTATAATACACTATTTTCCCTAAATTTAATACAAAAGGGCCAACATATAATGAGGAGAAACATTTCTTACAAGTTGCGTGTGACATCCATCTCCAGGTACGCTACCATTTTTATTTGTAGCCCAGAAATGAGATTAAAATGAATCGAATATCAATTTTTTTTATTTCAGGTGGATCCAACTCGATATAGAGATAATAAGACTAGGCTTTTTGTGCATTTTCAGGTAAATTAATATTTTATTTACTTTGTAAATTTTCATTTTGCTGTCATGAAATTAATATTTTTTTAGTTAGTTATTTACGTCAATTGAGAAAAGTTCATATTTACTAGGCTGGAAATAAACATTGTTTCAATGTATTATGTCCGGGATTTATAATAGTAAACAATGTGATACCTATTAATATGGCGTTCGATAAGATTTCAACACGTGGAGGAAAGACATGGGAGTTCGCAATGTTCATCGAACAGGTACATTTTCTTTATTTAATTTGTTTTCAAGTTTTTAAAGCTATAAATACTGATCTAAGCATTTTTGCTAATCCAATGGAAATTGGTGGATTATAGTTGACGAAGACTATGATCAAATTGGTTTTTGGCCTCAAAAGATCTTCACTAAATTGACAAGCTTTGCTAATAACGTTGAGTGGGGAGGCGTCGCATGTAGCCCATCAGGTGTGCCTAAACCTCCAATGGGCTCAAGTTTTTTTCCTGTTGGAAATAGCGTTAGTGATGGTTATTGTAGGGCACTTACCGTTTTAAATAATAAAGGTGCCACAATAAATGTCAACAAAACAACAATATATGTTGACGATACTAATTTGTATCAAGTTTTGGATGATCCACAAGTGGGAATTGGAAAGTTCAAACATTGTGCATTTTTTGGGGGACCAGGAGAGTCATCAACTCTAAATGTAATGATATTTACTTTCTATGTCAAAAAAAATATGAAATATATTTTTTGAGAAAATATCACTCAACTGTCACTAATTGTTGTCACTAATTTTTAATATACATTGTATTCAAGTAGATTTGTATGTATATGAGATACATAGACAAATTTTGCTTGCCTCCTTCCATCTCGCTCGTCACCCTCCTATCTTCCTTGCGTATTTGATATCTCAAATACATGTGAATCACACCAAAACCATGTATCTAGTGTATATCAAGTGTGATTCACATGTAAGTGATGTATCTGTGATACAAGACAAATGTCGCTCTCCTCCTTCCCATCTCGTCTGCCACTCTTCTGTCTCGCTCGAGTATCTGGTATCCAAGATACATGTGAATCACATCAATATGCATGTATCTAGTGTGATCACATGTATCTGAGATACATAGACAAATCTTGTTCACCTCCCTCCTGTTCTTGCTCGGCTCTCTCCCTATTTCAATATATCTATAGCAAAAAACATATATATAGGTGTATCTGACTTGTAATCTGATACGAAATTATTAACTAGTGAGATAAAATCTAATTATTTTAAACTATAGAGAGAATTAACAAATATGGTAAGAATATTTGTGTAATTAGATAATTTTTCCACAAATTTATTGTTTTCAACCCGCTCAATCAGTATAATTTGCCTTTTTTTTAAAAAATAAATTATTTTACTAAATACGTTTTTACGTTTTCATAACTCTCCTATCTTACCACTAAGATATTTTTGTAAGGTCAGAACTAATGTGAATATTAATTAATACAGTACCTACTTAGACTTAACTCTATATGACTTTGTTGAGTATTTATGTGGTCCTAGAATGATTTTGGATCATTATGAGATTTATTTGTTTACTAAAGAATTTTTACTTATATCTCAAATTGTGTTTTTATTCAAATAATTTCCAACTGGGCATCCAATTATGATTATCGCAATGTTTTATTTATCAAAACATACCGGCCGGAGAATTTTATCAGTTTTAGTTCAAAAGTTATATTTCGTGGACTCTTTAAAAAATGTTGTCGCATTGAATTCTTAAATATTTTTAATTTTTTTTTTACTTTTAGAGGATTTGATACGTACCTGTGGTCAGGGGCGGAGCCAGTTTAGTATAAGGGGTTCATCCGAACCCCTATGGTTAAAATAATTTTTTAGGTATATATACTAGATGTCGAACCCACTTCGGCTATTTCATGTGTCTATTTCTACAGATTTTGAACCCCCTTACTGAAAATCCTGACTCTGCCATTGCATGTGGTCAATGTTGAAGAGTCCAAACAACTTAAGTTCAAATGACTTAAATTCCCAAAATTCACGATTGTACATGTGGTCAATGTTGAAGAGTCCAAGCAACATAAGTTCAAATGACTTAAATTCCCAAAATTCGTGAATGTACCTGTGGTCAATGTTGAAAAATCCAAGCAACATAAGTTCAAATGACTTAAATTCCCAAAATCCGCAAATTCACTCCACCCGCATGGTTTTCTTAAAAAAATATATCAGAAGATAAACTATTTTTTTTTAATTATTCCTTTTGTAAAAAATTCAGAGTAGTAGTAATTTATTAGCCATGTATGTACTTCCCTTACTTTTCTAATTACTTTTAATTTATTCTTCACCAGTCTCTTGCAGTTTAATTTACTTTAAAAATGAAAGGGATAGTATAGCAACTGTTGCCATTTTTAAATGGTCATTTTGTGTAAAACTAATCATTAAGATTCTTTAATTATTTTGCCATTAGAGGAGTATATAAAACATTAATTTATGCGTTTAACGCGCTTTTATTTGAGTTTTATGGAGTAAATTATAATGTCCTGTGGATCACATGACACTTAACAAAAACAGGTCATATATACCTTCAATAACTATGCATCTTGCATGAGTTAGGGAACAATTTTTTATATATATAATCGTAGTGTCAGGATCAATTTGCACGCGTCTTGTCTAATGTTAAGAGATACACATCATATCTCTTATCAACAATAATTATCGGATAACTTTATTTTCAAAAATTATAATAAATGAGAAGAAATCACATTAACTAAGATTTAAATCTGAGACTCCGTGATGAGAATAAATTTTGTTATGTTAAAGCATTTTAATGTAACAAATATATTTTAAAGAGGAGACTATGGTAGTGGGATTTTGAATCTCTTGCCTACTTTTTTTTCCTTTTCTTTTCTTTCATTTTTGTTGGTCCACATATTTGCATTTTTCTAAAAAGATGAGTGAATATGATCGATAATTGTTTAGGAAGAATTAATGTAAAAGTTATCCATTCAACTACTTTTATTAAATTTTGTTGCTGGAAATTATATGTATAATTCATTTGTAATATGTGTATAACTATGTATGATCGATATATAATTTGTGTTCATCGACTAAAAGAAGTAAATAATAAATTTGATCAATTATTTATGTAAAGATTTTTTTTAAAGAATTAATTGGTTGACAATTCAAAACTCGATGAGTAATTGATTCATTTCTTCATCTTTTTCTTTTAGAAAAATAGCAAGCTTTAAGTAGGCACAATCGTGCAACTCAAATCTATTACATGTATTTGAACTCGTATATTACACCTTGATAATCTCATATTTTATCTCAAAATTATTATCTTTATTCCGTCAAAACTATAGGGCCAACCAAAGAAATGATTTAGATTCCTTTTCATGACTTTTGTTCAAAAGCAAAAGAAAAAGGAAATGATCAAAATATATAGGAGAATTAAAAAGACTATTACGATTGACTTTTCTTTAATTTCAAATTGTAAAGTAGAAAATAAAATAAGAAACCCTCTCTTAGTGGAAAACAAAAACCCTTTTGAAGACCCAACTCGCCTTGTGTTTAATGTGAAAAAATAAAATAAAATAATCTACTACAATCATGATTAATATTCATGATATTTATCAGCCATAATACAAATTAACCAAAATGGTTCTATTGCTTTTACTCCCTTTTTTTTTTTTTTTTTATAAATGTGCTCACCAACATATTATACAATATAAAAGTTGAAGAAGACTACATAAATAACAATATATTCAGTAAAATTTCATAAATAAAATCCGAGAAGAATAAATATACACAAATGTTATCTCTATCTTTGCGGGATAAAAAAAGTTATTTTTGATAAAAAAGATAACATAAAATCTAACAAAAAATAATGTACTTCTTGGATTTGAGTTTTTCTTTTAAATAATAAATTAAAAAAGGTATCCTTTCTTTGTAATGTATTGCTTGGAAGTATTGTAATTGATGACCCTTCATGTTTAAACTATCTACTTGTCTTTTCTGTCACACCTACAATATTTTAATTTGAATTATCATTTCACATGTATTAAAAAATCATACAGGCTGACATTTTTTTTTCAATCCAAACTAGTAGCAGTAATAATAAAGTAATCTTTTTATTTGAAATGTAAATAAAATAAAAAAACTGAGTTGATCTTTTGTATTTTCTTTTGAATTATAAGTAGGTAAGTTGATGTTGGCTTTTTTGACTACTTTATTGACATTTTGGTAAAATCTTTGCCATAGCAATTTTATTTTTTTTAGCTATAACACTTTTTTTTAAAAAAAAAAAAGTGGGAAAAGTTTGAATATTAGTGAGACAGTGACATTTTAAAAGTGACAGAAAATTTGAATCTTATTGAAAATTTCAATTTATAAATGTAGAAATTTGTGCTTTCAACATGACATTATTGGTGATTTTAAATTTGAACATTCATTATATTTTTTTCATTTTTGTCGTCTATTGAAAACATCATCTCTAATCTACATTCATATTCTTATCCTTTTAGATTTCATTTTATAAGATTAAATTGAAATGTTGTTGTTATTGTACATATCAATTTTAATCATTTTACGATAAAAAATACTTTAAAATTCAGCCACTCAAAACAATTGTATAAATACATCTAAATTTGAAAATGTATATTTTGTTTAAGTTTTATCTAAACTATTCTCAAAAAAATAAGTCCAATGCAACTCAAATAATTGGTCAAAAAAATTATATAATTAATTTATAAAATGCACTGAAAAATAGAAACATAAACCGTGCAAGTCTCTGCTTCTATTGATTGATTAAGCGTGTGTTGTTTCTAACATGCGCTGAGAATGAGGCACATGATTACTTCCCCAAGATTCCAAAACCCTTCATCGTAAATCTTTACACATTATTTTCCCTTTTTACCCTTCACTATTTTTTCCTTTCTACTTTCCCGCTCGGTGTTTGATACCTGTCTTGAGTCCTGGTAGATTTCAAGTCACACAATAAAGTTTCACTTTGACGTAAATCGTTTTCTACCAAAGATGATTTCATTTTCAAACTTAAAACCTTTAATTAATGATGAAAATATTCTTACCGTCTTATTGTAAATTTTTATTTAATGGCGGAATCAAAATTTTTACAAGGGATTTAAAATATGAAGATGTAAACCCACAAAATAGTCAAGAGGATTAAACATCACTTAAAATATCCGTCTCAAAATACTTGTCAAATTATAAAATTTCTGTCCGCTTTAAAATACTTATCAAGTTACAAAATCAAAATAGAATTAAATACTCTCTTTGGACCGGTTTACTTTGGCATATTTTTGTTTGCAATATTCCCCATAAATAATGTTTTGACTATTATATCTTTATCATTATTTTTTGTCATTTGAAATGATAATTTCTGTTTAATAAGTATTCCCTCTTTAATCTCTTTTCAACAAATAAAGAGAGGGTTAAATGTGTACGTGCTTTTTATTTAGGTTTTCTATATTAATGTGTCAATATTTATTAATTTTAAAAATAATTATTACTAAAAGCAAAATGAAAACAATGTATTTAATAATATCTTGATTTTAAAATAATAACAATATTTTGTAATCTTTTTTTTTCCCAATAAGAACGACAACTAAAGTGATCATGAAAAAGTAAGTTTTTTCGTTTTATTTTAAAATTATTTAAGTATTTTTTAAGGTAAATAATATTAATTATTTTGAAAAGAGTTGAAGATAAATTAATAAAATACACTTTTTAAAAAATATTTAATTTATTGAAAATACATTAAACAAAAATATGACACGAACCAGTACTTAATTCATCTCTTCTGACATTAATGCCGTTAGTATCTAACAAAGCTTGATGCAATTATCAGATTTAAATCATCTCATGGCTTTTCTCTCTATCGTAACTTCATTTATAACGTTGTTAAATACATTAACTTCTTGTACATTTAATGCGTTTTCATGAACAAAACTAAACAAAGAAGAGAAAGTCCTAGAGTAATTAAACAACTAAATTGGGATTAGTAATTAATTAGTGACTAGTACTTCTATGGTGTCCACTAAATAGAGTAAATCAACTTTATCAACCAACAAAGATAACAACAGAGTAATAATTGATTAGTACTTCATAGAGTAAATCAACGTTAACAACCAACAAAGATGTCAGTGGAGTAATGACTGATAAATATTCCTTCATTTTTAATTTGGGATTTCGAATTCGAGTCATTTCCAACGTGAAGTTTCCTGACGCAAATTCAGATTTAGTCGAGTCCCATTACTGATATCTCAACGAGTGGAAAACCAACATTAACAAAAAATCAAAAGGTTAAAAAGGTAAAGAAATATAGGGGTAAATAAGTAATTAAAAAAGAGATGGTTGTTTTCACATGTAATAGAAGACTTCCTTTACCTAATTTACTTTCCCCCAGAACAATGATTAGCTGTTCCCCAATAAAATGATTAGCAATAAAAAAGAATTTTAAGTCACTATAACAAAAGCAAAAATAATTCTATACACTAGTTGTAAACGCGAATAATTATGCATAAAAAGAATAATATTATATTTATAAAATTAAAGTTCAAGGAATGATCCCATGTTTACACTTATTCTTCTCCATTAAATCAACATTTTCATATTTGATTAATTACTTACAAACTCCTAACATGTTGAGATATTAATATAGCTTCTAAACATTCACATGAAGTAAATTTTAAAAGATAAAGAACCAATTAGATTTTTTTACGAGCGTTTCGTGATAAATATTTTATCATTTTTAATCAAAATTTAAAATTCGAACCTCTCACATGAATTGTCTTTGTCAAAAAGTACTTTATTTTTTTAAAAAAATTCGACGTGAATTTGTATTAACTCGATTCTACCACATGTACCAGATGTATAGTTATTTTTATTAGAGATTATTTTAATGTCAATATGAATTTTCAACGCCTAATACGAATATCCAACACGAAGTTGAAAACATCATTCTAAATTTATATAATCTAAAAAAAACACTTCAAGTTTATGGGTATTTAGCTATTGTGTATTTATGAGAAAATATTCTAAGTTTGATCAATCATAGCGACGCTGGTAAAGGCCCACACTTCCTTTAATCCGCCGCTCCTTCTATTATCTCCTTCTCCATTTTCTGCTTATTTTTTGTTCCCTTATAATTTTAACATATAGTTTTTATAACCCCCAAATTCTTCTTCTTCAGCTCATAAATTCTCTGTTTCTAGACACCAAATCTCTGTTTGAACCCAAGTTTTATTTTTTATAACTAAGTTGGTGACACTTAATAGTAGATTCCACTCAAAAGGGTTGTTACAGATTTAGATTCTTGAATTCACTCTTAAGCTTTGTTAAGTTTTCTTTAGTGTTTATCTTTCTCCCCTCACTTGTAAAAAAAATAACTTTATCTTTTTCCAGCTTTTTTTTTTTTTTGTTTTCATCTACTGTCTTGGGTCTTTTCTTGTTTTCTCTTTCAATTTTGTTTGGATTATTGCTTTTTGAATCTTTTGCTTTCTGGGTTTTTCTTCTTTTTGTTGATTGCTTAAGTTCTTGGAGACTATTTCTTTAGATGGGTTCTTTCAGTTCTGGATTTTTGTAGAAACTTAGTGTGTTCTTGTGGTGTGGAATTATTTGGGGGAAAAGATGAGACTTTGTGTTGTATTTCAAGTTTTAGTTACTGTTGGACTAGTTCTTGGGATTTGTGATGCTTTTCCATCAAATGAAGGTGTGTATTATTAACTTAAGTTCAGATCTTGATGTAGTTACTGCTGCAAAGATTCAATTTTTGTCTTTTAATTGAGCATTTAGTGTTGTAATGTAATGTTGTTTAGGAAAGATCTTGTATTTTCTTGTTTTGAGATACTTGCTGTATTTTGCTGTCATATTTTCAAATTGTCTATCGGAAATAGTCTCTCTACCCTGCGAAGGTAGGGGTAAGGTCTGCGTACTATGTTGTTGTTGTAGATAGTTGCTGTATTTTATGAGATTGTAATTCAAAGAGTAGGTAGTTTATTCTGAGTGAATCTGATTGGGGATTCTTTGTTGATACAGTTTATGCTCTCAATACCTTCAAGGAAGCTATATATGAAGACCCTCTTCTGGTTTTGTCAAATTGGAATGGTTTAGATTCAGATCCTTGTGGTTGGGCTGGAGTCTTTTGTTCTATGGCTCAAGATCATGTCATAAAAATGTGAGTTAATTGTCTTCAATTTTATGTGCAATACATGGATAGGTTGTTTGGTTAATGATTTTTCTCAACTAAAATGCAATCTAGTGGATCTTTTATGGACTCAAGTTTAGTGCAAATGAGTCTCTAATATGCATTTCCACTGGATTGTGTGACAGAAACATTTCTGGCGCTTCGTTGAAGGGGTTTCTTTCACCCAACTTGCATGTACTCTCCTCTTTGCAAGAACTGTAAGTTATTTCCGAATAGATTTATAAGGATTACATAGTTCTGGTTGTTCTTTTTTGTGGTTTTGTTAAAGCTTATGTGATTCCCCGGCAATATGCAGAATTTTGCATGGAAATGTGCTGATTGGTACAATTCCTAAGGAGATTGGTCTATTGAAAAATTTGAAGGCCTTGGATTTGGGTGCTAACCAGCTAACAGGACCAATTCCTTCCGAGCTTGGCAATTTGACAAACATTATGAAAATGTTAGTCTAACTTGAATTTTGTAGGTTCATTTGTACTTGCCTTTACCTAACCTTGTTGAATCTCCCTTACTTTTCTAGCTTCCATGTGTCTCTGCAGAAACCTACAATCTAATGGATTAACAGGGAAATTGCCTGCTGAGCTTGGTAATTTGAAATACCTTGAGGAACTTCGGTTGGACAGGAACAAACTCCAAGGACTAGTGCCTGCTAATACTGGATCAGATTTTACATCCGGTGTACGTGGAATGTGAGTTGATTAGCTACGTCTTGTACTTTATCGTTTTTCTTTTGAATTTTCTGGTATGTCGATAAGGATTAATGCACGATTCTCTGTTTACTTGCAAGATATTTTTGGTTGTCCTTAGAGCGTTTTCCGTCTTGGCCCTCTAGGATTCTGTCAGATATTTGAAGGATTGAGTGACCAAAGAATCGAGTTTTCTGATCTTTATGACAGTCATTGTCTGGAATGACGATGACGGAATCCAGAAAAGAGATGCTTATGGGATAATGTCTGTTCTTTCTGTCAGCATTGTTTGATATGTACTGCCTGCAGATTGACACTGATGGCTGTTTTACTTGAGTCTAGTGTAGTACATTCATTGTCTGTTGTTTGATGGGAGGATGGTGAATTGGGGGGACCCCAATGGAGTGTGTTTTTGCTATAGCCTTTAATATTTGACCAAATGAGAGCAATGTTACAGAGTTCAGAATGTATGTTTCAAAAGTTTAACGATGATGTTCTTGGAATTGATCTGTATTTCTGTGAAGAAAAATAAGTAAAAACTGTTTGATGTCCTGTAATATTTGACCCAACTGATTTTGCTATAGCCTTATGTCCATCACATGTATCTTTATCTGATTGTTTTTTTTTCTTTTTCTGTTATACCCTTTTAGGTATGCATCTGGTGCCAGCGCTACAGGTTTTTGTCGCACATCCCAGCTCAAAGTGGCTGATTTTTCATTCAACTTTCTTATTGGAAGCATACCAAAGTGTTTGGGTTACCTTCCAAAGTCAGTTCTTAATTCTACGCCATAATTCTTGTTTTACCTTATCTTCTCTATTCCTGAATGCCTGTTAGTTTTGTTGCTGTAAATCTATATTCAAAGTAGCACTCTGATGCTCTACCAGTGTTGTTTCTCTTACCTTTTCTGTTTCTTAATGCCTGTTATTTTGTGTTTCTATAGATCTAGTTTTCAAGGAAATTGCCTTCAGCACAAAGACCCGAAGCAACGGTCTGCTGCTTTATGTGGTAAGTAAACAATCATAGCTACAATTTTCAATACTATGCATTGTTTGTGCAGCTCAGTCTAGGAGAATTAATGTCTCAACCTTTTTTCTTTAATATTTGCAGTCAAATAGATTTATTTATTTTAGTAAGAAACTGAACTGGTTGTTTTGACATTGCATTATAGGTAGCACTCCGCCTCCCACTAGCCATGCATCGACACTCAGCAATAAGCACCAGGCTGTTGAAGAACCGAGACATCAGACTTCTTCCAAGCCCACTTGGCTTTTGGCTTTAGAAGTGGTAACAGGAGTTATGGTGGGTTCTCTCTTCATTGTAGGTCTTGTGACTGGCCTTCAGAGGCTTAAGAACAAATCCTCAATCATACCTTGGAAGAAATCAGGAAGTGAGAAAGATCATATGACAATTTATGTAGGTTAGTACTATCATGCACTTGAACTTGAGCACTTAGTACTTTCAAAAGCATTGAGCCTAATCTTCGTTTCTGTTTACCGCTGATGATCCTTGTAGATACTGGTATGCTGAAAGATGTTGTAAGATACAGCAGACAAGAACTTGAAGTAGCTTGTGAAGATTTCAGCAACATCATTGGATCCTCACCAGATAGCATAGTTTACAAAGGAACCATGAAAGGTGGACCTGAAATCGCTGTAATATCCCTTTGCGTCAAAGAAGAGCACTGGACAGCCTATCTAGAACTTTATTTTCAGAAAGAGGCAAGACTCAATTCTTTCTTCATCATCACTATTTATCTCTTCCAAAAGTTTGCATCTTAAGTTCCATGCTCTTAACTTCTGTTAATTTACATTTAGGTGGCAGAATTGGCCAGAATAAATCACGAGAACGCTGGGAAACTTCTAGGCTATTGCAGAGAGAGTAGTCCCTTTACGAGGATGTTGGTGTTTGAATATGCATCTAATGGGACATTATATGAACACCTTCATTGTGAGTAAAGTGAATTAGTTTTCGCATGCACTTCATTTTATGTTTTCCAAAGCAAACTCCTAACTCTTTGAATGTATCATAGATGGAGAAGGATGCCAACTATCTTGGACACGCCGGATGAAAATAGTTATTGGCATCGCTAAGGGACTGACATATTTCCATTCAGAACTTGACCCTCCATTTACTATATCAGAACTGAATTCAAATTCTGTATATCTCACCGAAGATTTTTCTCCCAAGGTAAACGAAAGACCATTTACAAAAGGCACTGGCATTTTATAATTGTCTTCTCAAAGTTTATTTCATTTGGTGCAGCTTGTTGATTTTGAAAGCTGGAAGTCGATAATTTCCAGATCAGAAAAGAATTCAGGTGCTATCAGTAGTGAAGGAGCAATATGTGTCCTTCCAAATACTCTCGAGAGTCGTCATCTCGATGTCCAGGGTAACATTTATGCATTTGGAGTACTTCTACTGGAAATAATCAGTGGGAGACCTCCATATTGCAAAGACAAAGGGTGCTTAGTAGATTGGGTAAGCATTTCTTTTCATGTGAAAAGACTTCTCTGCTAGAACCAGTTTCTAAACGCGTTGGCAGGACCTGAATTCGACCTTTTACGTGCAGGCAAAGGAATTTCTTGAAATGCCGGAGGTATTATCCTACGTTGTGGATCCCGAGTTGAAACATTTCAAACAGGAAGACCTCAAAGTGATATGTGAGGTGATCAACCTTTGCATCCACCCGACTACGAGTAGAAGGACATCCATGAAGGACCTGTGTGCTATTCTGGAGAGCAACATTGACACTTCCATCACTGCAGAGCTCAAGGCGTCTTCGTTGGCATGGGCCGAGCTTGCACTTTCATCCTAACTGACAGAAGGCTAACACAGTATATATATCTGAAATATGTAATTGTCTAGCGCTTTCTCCTTTTCGTTTTTTGACCTCTCGATTTCTCGTTCCCAATGTGTTCTGGAGTGATGGTTGAGTTCATGTAAATTTTGATTCTGTAGGATAAAATTAGAGTTGAAGAGATGCTACTGTTGATTCTTTGTAAACAAAGTGGTTCTTGTTAAAATGAATGAGTGTTCATAGTGAATGAGGCACCAATGAAAAAAAAATGACCATATTTTTTGAGTTTCAAAGAACTCGCTCGAGTTCTCGAGTCGCAACTCAAAATCGATCTTGGACTTAACTCAACTCCAAAAGAAAAGTACAATACAGACTTTCTTATTGACAACTTGTAGGTTATCAACAATATGATTAAAAGATTGAGGTTGTCCTTCTGGAACTGTTCTCGTTAAGAGGAATTACGAAGAATGATTTTATAAGACAAACATAACTATATTTGTTGTAAAGTGATTATTTTATTGTATATATTCGAAACTATTCCTTTTTTATTAGCTGTTAAAATGTGTATTTGTCATTACTTCCCAAATAATCGACCCGATACTTGACTAAATGGCCCATATTATAGTATGATAATTCAGAACAATTTAAAGCCCAAGTAAAGCCCATTTGCCTTCTTACTTTTTGGGCTTAGTATACTTGACTCATATTTACATAATCAGATTGTTATTAAAGATTTAAGATTATTCTTAAAAAGGAGTAATCAATATTTAATTTTTTATTAAAGATAAAAATAAAATATAGTGAGTGCATTAATTTTTTTCTATACCTATCCTTATATAACACCCTTCTCATAGTAGCAAAGTACTCATACTTGCAAAAGAAAAAAAAAGATGAATGAACTCAGGATGCATCAAAAAATTGTTCGACAAATTTTATTGGTGTTATGTTTATTTTTGAGTTATAATGGAGTACAAGGACGAAAAAAGTTATCTGAATTGGAAGACATGGAGTTAGAGAAACGATTGAAACTTTTGAATAAGCCAGCAGTCAAAACAGTTAAGGTATTTGTTTTCTGTTCATATATAATGTTTGTAAATCTCACGAAATATTTATTATTTTTATTTGACAAATCACCTTTATCGGGTTAGGGTTGGGTGGGGTGGGGGGGGATTTTTTTTGGGTAAATGAACCTTAGGTTTATGTCTTTTTCTTTAGTAAATTTTATTGTATTTGAAAATTGACTCCTCTACATTATAGAATTCGATGTATAAGTACTATAAATTAGGTATCTTATTTATGATTTTTTTGTTCACAGACTAAATCTGGAGAATCATATGACTGTGTGGATTTCTACAAACAACATGCATTTGATCACCCATTGTTGAAGGATCATAATTTTCATCCTCAGGCATATCTCTACTCTCTTTTTACTTTAATTTTTTTGTACATATATATGATATTATTGACACACACAATCAAATATTTGAATGAACAGATGAAACCTACTTTTGCTGAGATAAAGCAAAATTCATATGGCTCAACAACTAATAGGTTACCGACAATATGGTCAAAAGATGGAGGTTGTCCTTCTGGAACTGTTCCCATCAAGAGAATTACAAAGGATGATCTTATAAGACAAAGAAATATGCCACCACCAGAACCTGCCAACTTTGACAATAAATTTGTAGTTGTAAGATAATTTATGAACAATTTAATACTTTTACTTGAAGATTTTATAAGCAAGTATAATTTGTTTCAAATATTGTGGCAAAAATTCATATATTGCAATATATCCAATGCAGAGCAATAACAATATTGAGCAAAAGGGAAGCTACTACCCTTTTTATGGATATAAGGTACAAAACTAATTTTCATTTTTTCACTTTTTTTTGTTTTGTGACATTCATTATAATTGGATTTAAAATAATAAATGAAATAAGTTTAATTTTCAATTTGTAATTTTTTTCCCTTTCAAAATATCAAATTGTGTTGTCAAGGTCTCTGCATTTGCCTTTTAGGGCTAGCCATACTTTGCATATATAATATGTAAATGTTAATCAAAGAATTTCTTTTACATTCAGCGTGCAATAGCTACACCACAGTACGATCCAAATTTTACAAAGTTTTCGGGAGCTGGAATGGCAACTAGTTTGTACAATCCTCATGTTGAAGGTCAACAACATAGCGCTTGTCGAATAAAAATTCAAAATGGATCGGATATTTTACAAGTTGGTTGGAGAGTAAGTTTAATCGATCTTTTTCATACACAATTTAATTGTTTCATAGAAAAATGTTTCTAAGATGTCAATTATAGAGTTTAATATAAATCCATACTCGCTTATTACAATTTCACTATTTGTCTTTCAGGTGGATCCAACATTATATGGGGATAATAGTACTAGACTTTACCTACATTACCAGGTAACTACTTATCTTAGTACTTTGATGATTTTAATATCGCGTTTATAAAACTACTCTATGTCTATTGTTTGGCTATATATTTTCCTTCATGTACAAGATTTTAAGTATCAGATACATGTATGGTCAATCAAAATTTCCTTCTGCAGAAAATTACATCGATTATATACAACTTAAATTATGTTTATGTATTTTCTTTTTACTTCGTGTGTTCTGAACCCTCTTAATATAAATCTTGATTTCATCACCTAAAAATATGCCTTTTATATTTTCTAGACAGGTGAAAAACATTGTTTCAATACATTATGTCCCGGCTTTGTGTATGTACACACAAACATACCTCTTGATATGTCATTTGAGGACAATCTTTCGCAACGTGGAGGGAGCACAAGGGAGATTGATTTGTACATTTATAGGGTACTTATTATACTTTTATTTATTGTGTTTTTTTTTATCGTGACTATATATATATATAAATCGAGAGACACTAAAATACTGACATTGACAAATTTTTTTTAAATTTAGGATACGGGCATTGGAAACTGGTGGCTTCTATTAGGACCAGACTATACACAAGTTGGGTTTTGGCCGCATGTTATCTTAAATGAATTGAAGGGTTTTGCTACAAATGTTGACTGGGGAGGAGTTATATATAATCCACCAGGTCTACCAGAACCTCCAATGGGCTCGAGCTTTTTTCCTTTCGGAAATAGTAGTTTTGATGCGTATTGTAGGAATATTGCGGTTTCAAATGAGGATGGAGATTCGGTTGGAGTATATAATATAGTCGAGCTTACTGAAAATAAATTTGCTTACGATATTCAATTCGAAGGAATTACGGAAGGGTCAAATACTTTTACTTATGTTTTTTATGGTGGACCTGGTATTAGTGATCCATAAATGTAATTCTTTTTAAGTACTCCGATCCTATATAAAGATATTTATGTTCAACTTCTACAAAAATATCGCGCTTTCTTGATAAATATATATTTGAATAGTTCTTGTACTAATTTTTTTTACGTGCTTAATAATCCCAATTTTTGTGAATAGTGTGAGGATATTCAATTTGATGAAAAAAATTGTTCAAGAAATGGAAATAGGCAAAAGAACTTTTAAAGGATGGATTAATTTTTCTATTAGTTATCTTTTTCTTTTAAATAATATTTTTCATTAATTGAGTGATATATTTTAACAAAAAAAAAAAGTAACAAAAGGAAGAGGCGAAAAAATCATTTTTATTTTTGTTGATCTGAACCAAAGTGCTAGGGAGAGGCGAACGATATAGTCATGTATTCCAGATATATGCGAATCATACTAGATATACACTTGATACATATAATTGTATGTATCTTGTGTGATTCACATGTATCAGGGATATCATATATATAGGAGAGTGGCGAGCGAGATGAGAGGGAGGCTAGCGAGATTCATTATGTATCCCAGATATATGCGAATTCATTTAGATATAATGTATCTAGAATCAATTCAACCTAATTTTGACCTCATGTATCCTAGATACATGTATCTGAACGTATCTAAATGCTTCAAAATATGATAAAATTCATAAATAGTCAGATTGTTTTTTAAGATATCTACTTAAAAAAGGAGCAATCAACAAAATGCTATTTTTGAACATTTCATTGATAACATTAATTCAATATTTATATATTAATTTACTTTTATTTTTTTTCTATTCATGGCCTTAAAATTGCATTAATTCAATATTTTATATACTAATTTACTTCAAATCTCTTCTATATATGGCCTTAAAATTAAATTACTTTAATATTTCATTTAGTAATTTACTTTAAATCTTTTCTATTTTTGACCTTAAAATGACATAATTAATTCAATATTTTATATAGTAATTTACTTTATATTTTTTCTATACATGGCCTTAAAATTATATTAATCCAATATTTTATATAGTATTTTACTTTAAATCTTTTCTATACCTGGCCTTAAAATTACATAAATTCAATATATCATATAGTAATTTACTTTATATCTTTTTTCTTCCTGCCCTTATATAACACCTTTCTCATAGTAGCAAAGTCTTCATACTTGCGAAAAGATAAATAAACTCAGTATGCATCAAAGAATTGTTCGACAAATTTTATTGGTGTTATGTTTACTTTTGAGTTATAATGAAGTACAAGGGAAAAAAAAGTTAACCATGTTGGAAGACATGGAGTTAGAAAAACAACTGAAATTTTTGAACAAGCCAACAATCAAAACAGTTAAGGTAGTTATTTTCTATTCATAAATTTTTAAGTCTCACGAGATATTTTTTATTTTTTATTTGATAATATAACCTTTATTTGGGTTGGGGGTTGGGTCATGGATTTTTTTGGGTAAATGAACCTTACTTTTATATCTATAATAATTTAGGTATCTTATTTGTGATTTTTTTTGTTCACAGACTAAATATGGAGATGTATATGACTATGTTGATTTCTATAAACAACGTGCTTTTGATCATCCATTACTGATGGACCATAATTTTCATCCTAAGGCACATCTCTACTCTCTTTTTTACTTTGATTTTTTCGTACACATATATGATATATATTGTTGACATACCATTATATATTTGGATGAGCATATGAAACCTACTTTATCTAAGATAAAGCGAAATTCATATGCCTCAACAACTAGTAGGTTATCGACAATATGGTCAAAAGATGGAAGTTGTCCTTCTGGAACTGTTCCCATTAAGAGAACTACAAAGGATGATCTTATAAGACAAAGAGATATGCCACCTCCAGAACCTGCCTACTTCGACGACGAATTTTTAGGCGTAAGATAATTTATGAACAATTTAATGCT